CCTGTGGTCCCAGCTACTTGGGAGGCGGAGGCAGGAGACTCGCTTGAGCCCAGGAGTTGGAGGTTGCTGTGAGCTGTAATGCCACGGCACGCTACCCAGGGGGAGAGCTTGAGGCTCTGTCTAAAAAAAAAAAAAAAAAAAGAAACTGAGGCCAAGGGAGCTTAAGTGACTTGCTCACAGGGGTCTATTAGAATACAGTGGAATTGAGATTTGAACCCAAGCAGTTGGGCCAATTCCCAGTAGCATCATAAGCTGAACCACCCTACCTCATACCCCATCCCCACCCACATGGCTTCAGAAGGGGTCACTCACTAGATCGGAGCAGGGTGCGATGGGCACTCTTCGGCGTGATGGGAGGAGGGGCTGGGATGCTGCTGGTTGATATGATGGCATTGAAGTAGAGGCCAGAACCTTCCCGCACAGGGCTGAGGATGGGGGGTGGTGTGTAGGGGGGCAGCTCAAAGCTCCGCTCAGAGGGGTGGTCAGCCAGGCGAACAGGGGAGCGCAGGTGGCTCTGGTATGGGGTGATGTTGGAGTAGACGGGTGGTGCAATGAAAGTGCCTGCCTTGGTGGGGATGATCAGAGGTTCGGGCCGTGGTCGCTGCTTTGGTTTCCGCACAGAAGGCTCCCCCTCCAACCTGACATTCATGTCCTCGGCCTGGAAAGGAAAGAGACCAAAGAGGGCTCAACCTCCTCTGTCCTAGGAAAACTGAAGTCTTGACCACTGCTTGCCAGTCTCACCTCTGGAACTTAGTCTGCCCAACATACCCACCCAAGGAAGCCTGAAAAAGGGAGCAGGTCCATTCTTATCAGCTTCTCTAGGGCAGGGATCAGCAAACTTTCTCTGTAAAGGGCGGGATATTAAATAAGTATTTTTGGCTTTGTGGGCCACATGCAGTCTCTGTTAACATATTTTTCTTCTTTCACTTTTTATTTTTTTAAATAATCCTGTAAAATTGTAAAGCCACTCTTAGCTCTGGATTTGGCCTTCAGGCCAGTTTGTCACCCCTGATATAAGGTATGAGATCCAGAGTGCAGGGTTAAGGTTAAGGGTTCAGGCTCCGAAGATGGACTGTTTGGGTTGGGCTCTACTGTCCTTATTGCCACTTAAACTGGCTCAATCATTCTGTGCATCTTTATTTATCTATTTGTTTTTGAGATAGAGTTTTACTTTGTTGCCCTCAGTAGAGCACAGCTCACAGCAATCTCAAAGTCTTGGGCTTAAAGCGATTCTCTTGCCTCAGCCTCCCAAGTAGCTGGGACTACAAGTGCCACTACCATTCCCAGTTATTTTTTAGAGATGAGGTCTCGCTCTGGCTCAGGCTGGTCTTGAATCTGTGAGCTCAGGCAATTCACCCGTCTCAGCCTCCCAGAGTGTTAGGATTACAAGCATGAGCCACCATGCCTGGCCTTGTGTATCTTCATTTTTAACATGGGAATAAGAAGTGCCTACTTAATGAGGTAGCTATGAAAAGGTATGTAAGTTAATACATGGACGTTACTAAGAATATTACCTGTTACTTAGTAATTCCTCAGTAAATACTGGCTGTTATCACTACTTAAATACCACAATCTGCAGTAGAGAGAAGCCCCTACTGTATCCTAAGACCTGAATTGAGCATGAGACCACCAAATTGAACAGTCCCTGTCTGCAGAACTTTTAATTTCAGAGTATTAGTCCTATTATGATAGGCTAGCCCACTTGTGCTGCCAAAGATCAGCCCTCCCAGTTCCCACTTCTCCCTGCTTGGTAAGTCTCATGGTCCTTCATATAGAATAAAAAGCAGGGCTACAAGGGAGCATATAGAATAAAAAGCATGGTTACAAGGGAACAGAGGCCTTCCCTTGCTCCATCCTTATTCTCTCAAAAGGCAGAGAACAACCCCACAGTGTGGGCAGCATCCAGGTTAACCCTCTGGGTAAGGTTGGCCAGGCTGACTGAGTGGGCCTGGAAACAATGGGCTCTCTCCCTTCCATAGCTCCAGCTCTCATAACACCTGCCAGCCAAGAGTCCTGACTCCATATGAGGCCCTCGCCATGTCCTTCACCCATTTGTGCCCTCTTTTCCCTGTTACAGATTAGGAAGAGGTGAAATTGTTCATTCTTCCACCCTTAGGGGATCAATATGATTGCACAGAAAAAAATATTGTGGAGCAAAAGACTTTCCCTAAACTTACTAGACAAGAAATCTAACATAAACTCAGCTGTAATGATTTGTATTTTAATACAACATTTAGAGTAGTATGAACATTGGACAGTATTTTTTTCTTTTTGAGACAGAGTCTCACTACGTTACCCTCAGTAGGGTGCGGTGGAGTCATAGCAGCTCATAGCAACCTCAAACTCTTAGGCTTAAGCAATTCTCTTGCCTCAGCCTCCCAAGTAGTTGGGACTAAAGGCACCCACAATGCCCGGCTGTTTTTTTGTTATTGTTGTTATTATTGTTTAGCAGGCCCTGGCCAGGTTCAAACCCACCAGCCCCAGTGCATGTGGCTGGCGCCCTAACCACTGAGCTATAGGCGCCCAGCCAACAATATTTTTCATACTATGTTTTTAGGTGTGGTAATGGTATTGAGATTATCTTTAAAAAGATGAGAGTCCTTATGTGTGTATTTCAGATACAAATTAAAGTATTTGTGGATGGAATGATATAATGTTTGGGATGTGCTTCAAAATAATCCAGTGGCAGAGAGAAGCAGGTGAAACAAGATTGGCTGTATTTTGATAATTGTGAAAGCGGTATGATGGCTAAACATTGGCATTCATTATACCTCTCTCTAGTATGTAATTGAAAATGTCTGTAATACAAAGAAAAATAAATAATGAGCGAAATAAACAAATAACAAAAAGTAAATCTCCCCTCCAAAGTACTATATAGTGAAAGGACTCATAGGTGAGGATTCATAGCTCCGCCAGTACTTGGCTGTAAGGCCTTAGCCAGCTGCTCGCCTTTTCTGGACCTAATTCCTCATCTACCTTATCTATGAAATAGGACTATTGAGCCGTGTAGTTGCTCAGGCCCTTCCTGCCCACTCTCAGGCCGCTCAGGCCTCTGGTCTCTCTACCAAAATTTTCCCTCACCCAGAGAAAAAGATGCCAGAAAGCAGAGACTGTCTTCGAGCTCCACTTCTGGACAGAGGATAGGCATGCAGGCCAACTCTGCACTGCAGCATAACCAGAAAATCTGGACTCAGTGTAAAAAAGCACATTTTTGCAGGTATCAAAGAGCAAACAGGTTGGCAAAGAAAGGAGCCAAGATCCAGAGAAGAAAGGAAAGCCAAAGAGGTGAGCCTAGCATTTGGAGCTGTATTCTCCCTAGAGGTAGATGCCATTACTAGAAGAGGAAACTTAAGCTGCTAGCACAATAAAAAAAAAAAAAACAGAAAAAAAAACTGGAGTTTAGGGCTCACCAAGGAAGGAAAGGTTGGTAAACTTCCATGCTTTGGATTGGGACTCCAAAAAGCTACCTGTCAGAATAAAGGTGAATCAGAAATAGGCTAGTCTTCACATGGAATAAAGCCCAGCCTCAAATCGTCTCCTCAACCTATAATTACACTGAAATGATTCAGGATTGCTAGTACCCTTTGATACCCATCAGATGCAAAGACAATTTCTCTCTGGAAGAGAACATCACCTAAGGTGTTTAATTACCTCAAAAACTTTTTATATACAATGTCTGGCACTTAATAAAAATGCACCTGTGGCTCAGTGGATAGGGCACCGGCCCCCTATAGCAAGGGTGGCAGGTTCGAACCCAGCCCTGGCCAAGCTGCAACAAAAAAATAGCCGGGCGTCGTGGGGGGCGCTTGTAGTCCCAGCTACTTGGGAGGCTGAGGCAGGAGAATTACCTAAGCCTAGGAGTTAGAGGTTGCTGTGAGCTGTGACGCCATAGTACTCTACCAAGGGTGATAAAGTGAGACTTTGTTTCTAAAAAAAAAAAAAAAAATTAACCAGATACACAAGAAAACAAAATGTGATTTAAAAACAAGACATAGAGGCCAGGCGTGGTAGCTCATGCCTGTAATCTCAGCACTCTGGGAGGCTAAGGCCGGTGGATTTTCTGAACTCACAGGTTGGAGACTAGTGAGCCAGAGCACGACCCCATCTCCAAAAATAGCTGGGCATCGTGGCAGGCACCTATAGTCCCAGTTACTTGTGAGGCTAAGGCAAGAGAATCACTTGAGCCCAAGAATCTGCGGTTGCTATAAGCTATGATGCCACAGCACTCTACCGAGGGCAACAAAATGAGACTCTGTCTCAAAATAAATGAATGAATGAATAAATAAAACAAGACATAGGCCAGATGTGGTGGCTCAGGCCCATAATCCTACATGCTGGGAAGCCAAGGGATGAGTGCTGGGATTACAGGCGTGAGCCACTCCTTGATTACTTGACCTCAGGAGTTTGAGACCAGCCTGAGCAAAAGCAAGACCCCATCTCTACTAAAAGTAGAATTAGCTGGGCATCATGCCAGTAATCCCAGCTACTTGGGAGGCTGAGGCAGGAGAATCACCTTAACCCAGGAGTTTGAAGTTGCTGTGAGCTATGATGCTACAGCACTCTAGCCTAGGGCAACGCAGTGAGACTATCTCAAGAAAAATAAAATAAATTAAAAAAATAAAATAAAAACAAGACATAATGCTTAATAGTGACAGACCCACAATAACAGAGTTATCAGGCACAAACTTTAAGAAAACTATACTTGGCTCAGCGCCTGTGGCTCAAGTGGCTAAGGAGCCAGCCACATATACCTAAGGTAGAAGGTTCGAATCCAGCCCAGGCCCGCCAAACAACAATGACGGCTGCAACCAAAAAATAGCCAGGTGTTCTGACAGGTGCCTGTGGTCCCAGCTACAGGAGCCCAGGAGTTGGAAGTTGCTGTGAGCTATGATGCCACAGCACTCTACCCAGGGTGACAGCTTGAGGCTCTGTCTCAAAAAAAGAAAACTATACTTAATTTATGCAACAAAATAAAAGGCAAGGTTAAGAATTTCATCAAAGAACTAGAAATTCTAAAAATGAACCAAATGGAAAGTTGATAATTAAAAAGCAAAGTAACGGGCAGCACCTGTGGCTCAGTGGGCAGGACGCCGGCCCCATATGTGGCAAGTTCGAACCTGGCCCCGGGCCAAATTACAACAAAAAATAGCCAGGTGTTGTGGTGGATGCCTATAGTCCCAGTTACTCGGAAGGCTGAGGCAGGAGAATCACCTAAACCCAAGAGCTGGAGGTTGCTGTGAACCATGACACCACGGCAGCACTCTACCAAAGGCGACAAAGTAAAACTCTTCTACAAAAAAAAAAAAAAGCAAAGTAACTAAAAATAAGAACTCTATGAATGGCTTTAACAACATGTTGGACACAGCCAAAGATAGAATTAGTGAAATGACTGATAGGTCAGAGTGGGGGAAAAAAGGAAAATATAGGAAAGTACCTGACAGATATAAAACACAGATATACATGTGAAAAGGTCTAACTAATGTATAATAATGGAGTCCTAGAAGAAGAGAGAAAAATGAAAGAGAAAAAATATTCATGAAGCATTAGAAACTATAAACGGGATAAATACAAAGAAAATATTATTTAAGTATAACTCAACAACTGCTGAAAATCAAAGACAAAACACCCACAACATCTGGGAGACCAAGGCTGGAAGATCATTTGAAGTCACAAGTTTGAGACCAGCCTAAGCAAGAGCAACATCCTGTTTCTACTAAATAATTAGCCAGGTGTGGTGGTGTGGACCAGTAGTCCCAGCTACTCAGGAGGCTGAGGCAGAAAGATTGGCTGAGCCCAGGAGTTATAGTAAGTTATAATAATGCCACTGCACTCTAACCAGGGCTGCCACAGAGAAAGACTATCAAAAAACCAACCAACTAACAAAACCCCAAATCATGAAAACAAGAAGATAAAAAGATACTTTACATTCAAAGGAACAACAACATGGCTTATAGTGGTTCCTCAACTGTAAGAATAATGGATGCCTAAAGACAATGGAATGATACCTTTCAGATACCAAAAGAGAATAACTCCTGACCTAGAATTCTCTATCCAGCAAAAATATCCTTTAAAAATGAAGATGAAATAAAATATTAAGGGATGTTCTTTAAGCAGCACATATATAAATGACCCAAGACAGAAGCTTAGAGACAGGAGAAGAAATGAAAGCAACAGAAAGTTTTAGGATAAATTTAAAATAAATAACAACTGATCAAAACAATGTTATATGTCCTATTGATGTTAAAATATAGAGAGAGTGAAAACATATGTGTCAATATAGCTACAAATTAGGGAATGATAGAAAATAAAGTACTGTACTGTAAAAACTTTGCATTGTTTGGGAATTTAACTTATATTAGATTTCAGTAAGCCAAGAATGTTTTAATCTCTAGCAGCCCTTCTCAGAGAACTAAGCCCTAATGTCACAAGGAACTCCCTGTACACAATGAGTGAAATTCTTTCCGATGTATTTAGAATGGTACTAGCTATGTATCACCCTTCAGAGAATTAAGGAAATAATCATTCAAATCCCTTTCAATAGAACTTATTTTTCTTGCAGAAATCCCATTAAGAAGAATGCAAAGGTAATCAATCACTAAAGAGAGATTAAGTAAGTACATAATAAATTAACAAAGTGGGAAAATGGAATAAAATTAAATCAATCCAAAGGAGAACATAGGAAAGGCAAGATGGGATACACAGAAAGCTAATAGCAGATGGGAAATTCAAACCCAAGTATATCAGTATAATCTAAAAAAGATGAAATCAGAAGCAGAAAGTAGAATGGTGGATACAAGGGGTTAGGGAGAGGGGCGAGGACTGGGAGACCATTGGTCAAAGGATACACAATTTCAATTATAAAGAAAAAGTTCAGTATATCTACTATACAACATGGTGACCATTACTAATAACAGTGAACTATACACTTAGAAATTGCTAAGATAGCAAATGTTAAATGTTCTTAGCACAAAAATATGGTAATTATGTAAGGTGATGGATATGTTAATTAGCTTGATTTAGCTATTCTACAACTTATAACTGTATCAAAACATCATGTTATATACTACAGATATATATAATTTTTGTTAAGTAAAAAATATGTAAGTAGAAAGAAGGAAGATATACATTTTTTTTTTTGAACCTGCCACCTCCAGTATATGGGGCTGGCACCCTACTCCTTTGAGCCACAGGTGCTACCCAAGAAAGATATACATTTTATCAATGCTCTAATTAAAAGACTAGAAAATAACAAACCCCAATTATATGCTGCTTGCAAGATACACCTTACACTTTAAGTAAAAGGATGCAGAAGAGCTGATAGTAAAAGGATGGCTAAAGATAGATCCTACAGGTCAGTGCAGTGGCTCATGCCTATAATCCCAGCACTCTGGGAGGCCAAGGTGGGTAGACTGCCTGAGCTCACAAGTTCAAGACCAGACTAAGAGCAAGACCCCATCTCTAAAAGTAACTGGGTCAGGCAAGCTGACCCAGTAACTGGTTGTGGCAGGCACGTGTAGTCCCAGCTACTTGGGAGACTGAGGCAAGAGAATTGCTTGAGCCCAGGAGTTTGAGGTTGCTGTGAGTGGTGCTAGAACGTCACACCACTCTACTAAGAGCGACAAAGTGAGACTCTGTGCTAAAAAAAAAAAAAAAAGAAAAAATAGGGCAGCGCTTGTGGCTCTGTGAGTAGGGCCCTGGCCCCATATACCAAGGGTGGCAGGTTCGAACCAAGCCCTGGCCAAACTGCAACAACAAAAAAAACTGGGCATTGTGGTGGGTGCCTATAGTCCCAGCTACTTGGGAGGGTGAGACAAGAGAAATCACTTAAGCCCTGGAGCTGGAGGTTGCTGTGAGCTGTGACACCACAGCACACTACCGAGGGCAACAAAGGGAGAGTCTCAGTCTCTTAAAAAAAAAAAAAAATACAGGCAGGCGCCTACAGCTCAGTGTGTAGGGCACCAGCCACATACACTGAGGCTGGTGGGTTTGAACCCAGCCCAGGCCAGCTAAAACAATGACAACTACAACAAAAAAATAGCCAGGCGTTGTGGCGAGTGCCTGTAGTCCCAGCTACTTGGGAGGCTGAGGCTAGAGAATCACTTAAGCCCAAGAGTTTGAAGTTACTGTGAGCTATGAAGCCATGGCACTCTACGGAGAGCAACAAAGTGAGACTCTGTCTCAAAAAAATACATTAATTAAAATACACCCTATGGACTCTAAACAAAAGAAAGCTAAATATCAAAGAAGACTTTTAAAGGCAAAAAAAATACTTAAGATAAAAAGAAATTTTATAACAATAAAGTGTCTAACCAGTTCTAAATGAGTATGCACTTAATAAATTGCATTCAAATGCATAAGTCAAAATGACAGCACTAAAAGAAAAAGCAGAAAAAACTTAAATCTTAATGGATTTCAAGATACACATCTCAATGACAGTACAAGCAACATCCCTATCTCCTAGTACCTAGCATAAGGCCTGACCCATCAAAATTGGCTGACCTGAAATAAAAGAGACTCATACATCCTAGATTTTTCTAGTCTCAATTTCAACTATAAAACACTCTTGCTATCTTCCACATATAAATTTGTCCAGAAGTCTGGTTTGGAAAATGAAAATAGTAATTCTATAGACTCCTTGAATCCCTTTATACTGCTTTGTTCTCCTTTTCCCCAGTGTCCTAGGCACTCAGGTACTAGAGGTGTTTGGATGGGGAGCTTCTCATACCTGAGCTGGAACATCTGACCCAGGGATACGGGTAGACCGCCTGCGGGTGACAATGACTGATGGCTTGTGCTCAGTGGGGTTCTGTTCATGACCCTTACGATCCTCCTCAACAGCTTGAGCTGCTTCAATTGGGTCCAGACTCCGTACAGGCACAGACACTGGGATGATGAGGGGTACCATCCCACTGTCTTCTCGTGCTCGCTTGGGGGCTAAGGAAGGCTCAGAATACTCTACCCCACACTTGGCAGTTGAGGTCAGTACACTTTTTCGCTTTTCCTCGGAGCCACTAGCATCCTGGAAAAGAGGGGGATGGGAGAGAATGGAAGTGAGGTTTAGAAGATAAGTCCTAATTAGGAGACTCATCAAAGGGAGGACTGTTCACCCCAACACACACACACACACACACACACACACACACACACACACTCTCTCTCTCTCTCATTTAATCCAGGGATTCAAACACCCACAGTGGTTCCCAATGGTTTGACAACTTGGCCTTTCCCTGACTACTATTTCTCCCATCATATTCCCCAAAACTCTCCATAACCTCCCTTCTGAAGCCAGGTCATCTCATCCCCAGGTAGCCATGTCAGGCCACCAGTGGCTTACAGTTTCATTTGACCCACAGAGTGGGCAGCATATGAAATAGTATCTAAATATTCAAAAAATATCTCTGGAAGAAAAGCAAGCAAGAACCCTATGGCAAGGTGAAGGATGGCCTTTGTACTATTTTCCCATAGGCAGCTGCTGGCTACAGCAAAGTCCTGCAGGCTCCTCTGTATCAGCCTGACACCCCCACCAGGTCTGGCCCCCACCCCACACCCCACTTACCTTTGCATTCTGCAGTGAGGCCAGCTCTACTGCCTTTTGGGCCAAGGTAAGCAAATTGGCTTCCTGGGATGCCCGGCGCCTCCGTCGTGTGCTCTGAATCACCCCACCCCGTAGCACCTGCCCACAGTCCCCTGTGCCCACTGCCCTCATGCCCTCTTCGCTACCCATGGCAGGAGCCTCCCGTTCCCGACCATTGGGTGCCAGTCTCTCCCCATCAGGCAGCAGCTGCGACTCCCTCAGCTCCAGTGGGAATCCCAGAGCTTCAGGATGGGGTTGTGCCAGGGAGCCAGGTGGTGGCTGCTGCAGAGGCCAGTGATGTAGAAACAGATTGCCAGTGGGCTCCTGCCCAGGTTGGGTGCCAGCCCCATCCAGGGCAGTGGGAGGCAGGATACCCTCCTTAGAGAGGCGGCGGGAGCGGCGGGGGAAGGGGATCTGGACCTGAGGTAGCGCCGGCTGCGGTGGGGCTTGCTCCTGCAGGAGAGCCTTGCGCAGTTCTGGGTTCATATCAGGGTTGGGAGGGAAGGGATAGGGTGCCATGCTGTGGTGAGCCAAGTGAGACTGTCCCAGTGGCCCAGCCGGCTGCAGGCCAAAGTCCTGGGGCTGCTGAGAGGGCTGCTGCATGGGGTAGAAGTTCTCAAAGAGCGGGGGCATCTGAGGCAGGGCTGCCTGCTGCTGCTGCTGCTGTGGCTGCTGCTGCGGCTGCTGCTGTGGCTTCTGTGGGGGGAAGGCGGCAACAGGGTTTGGGGGTGGTGGGCCCTGCCGGAAGACATGCCGGTTCACTTGGGGGCCGAATGCCAACTGGAACGGTTGCAAGGGCAGTGTCTGGTTTGGGGGTTTCTTGGCTGCATGGAAAGAATTCAGGGATGCCTGGGGCTGCCCCACCTCCAGCTGCATCTTCTGTAGCATCATGGGCCGTACCGCGTTTCCATAGCGGTCCAGCTGTGGGCCCCCCCCCTTTTCCCGCTTCAGTGCCTCAGGGTGGTTATAGTAGGTAGAGACCCCCACACCAGGATGAGGGCTCCCCTTCGGTCCACCGTAGAGGGACAGGCTGTGACAGTTCCATGATGAGTGAGGTGGAGGCTGGCCTGGCTGTTGCTGCCAACTGCTGTCACTGACACCCCCACCTCCTCCTCGTTCAGGGCCTCGTCCTGGAGCCATCACAGAGTTGGGCCACTTCACTGAGCCCACCTGCTGGGATAACATGGTTGCTGTGGTCTGCTCAGGACCATACACCACAGAGTTCAGCAGAGCCAGGCTGCTAGGAGGAGGCAGTTCCACAGGCTGGGAAGTGGAGGCTGCCCCTGTCGGACCCTCGTGCCCAACGTACTGCTCCTCCTTCACTCTGATGGACTGCTGTGAAGCCGGCAGAGGTGTGGACTGCTCCTTGGGAGCTGTTTCCTGGTCCCCAAAGAGGCAACGCTTCCGCTTGTTTTGAGCCTTGGGCTGGGCCTGGAAGTTCATGATGTGCCCAGCTGAGCCCTGACAATGAGACCTACTTCACTAGTTGCCCATTCCCCTGGGGAAAGGTCCTGCTAAAACCCCAGTCCTCGTCCAGGAGCCAATGAGGGCAGAGCAGAGCCAGAGGAAGATGTTGGCTGATGCAATCAGGCACGGGGAGAAAGAATTGCTGGTTCTTCCTTCCTCTTCCAGAGAGGTTCTTGGGCTTGTCTATGCTTCCCAGTTCATGATGCTCCACCAGGTCCTGGAGCCTGTGGAGGGAAGAGGCAACAGTGTCAGCCACATTCTTCCAGGATTCCCTGGGTGTTGGCACAAGGGTGAGAAAGAAGCCTCCAAGGCCCTTGTTCCCACCACCTCATATCACAGGGATTAGCTCAGGGTTACAGAGCAGCACTGGCGGTACGGAAGCCAGGAAGCAGCTGAATCTGCAGCATTGCTCGAGTACTCTATGACTCTCCTCCTGCCCTATCCCCTAACCCTGCTGGTTAGGCTGAAGGACTGCTGCATATGGTTGTACCTTTTGTGCAGATGCCTAAGGGGCAAGTGGGGCTGACATCCAACTCTATGGGAAAGGGGTGACGACAAAAGCCATATTAAGCTCTCTTCTCTTGACTCATGCTCCAGACCCTCTGGCGGCCAGGCCTGGTCTTCTTTGTGTATCCATCTATGTAGTAGTCTCCTACCATACCCAGAAGCTTCTCTATGCCCAAACCTCCTCTGACACTCCAAACACATCTCAGACATAGGAAGTGGAGAGGACAGGGGTCATCCCCAACATGGCCACCCTCCTGTGCAGCCCCAGGGGCAGAAGACCCCCTAGGTCCTTGCAGAGTGCAGGGCCCAGGGCTAGACTGACAGTCCTTTACACTGAGGTATGCAGGTGGGGCCCCAGAAGGGTGTGTGCAATCCTGGCCCCACCCTGGGGAAGAGCTGCTGGGTAGGGCTCTGCTGCCAGAGTCTTCCCCAAACCAGCACAGAACCTGTTCTGCAGCCCTGACAGGCTGGAGGCAGGATCCAGCCCAGGAGATGGTCAGTATCTTGACCCTGCTCCTGCCCCCTTCACAGCATAGAATAGTAGAACTCAGACATTTCAGGGTACAGATGGCTAAAACTTAGGTCCAAAAGATTTCTTCATGATAATGTCATGACTAAAGTGCTCAGTTTTTCTGTTTTTGTTTTCTAACTTGATTTTTTTCCCCTTGGAAACAGTCTCACTCTGTTGCCCAAGCTAGAGTGAAGAAGCGTCATAGCTCACTGCATCCTCAAACACCTGGGCTCACAAGATCCTCCTGCTTCAGTGTTCCAGTCCCAGGGGAGCTAGGACTACAGGCACCCGCCACAATGCCCCGCTAGTTTTTCTATTTTTTGTAGTGATGGGGTCTCTTTCTCAGGCTGATCTTAAACTCCCCAGCTAAAGCAATCCTCCCACCTTGGCCTCCTTTTGCACCTGGCCCTAATTTGATTTTGTTAAGAAGTTTGCTGTAGAATAACCAGACCCAGACCTGGTTACAACTTACATAGCCGCTAGAGTGTATGAAAACCTCTCTAGCCTCAGAGAGGTTTTATTTGTTTAGGTTTTTCTTTTCCTCCCAAGAAGTTGGTGGGGAAAGAGGAGCTACATTGCCCCCACCCCCACCCCCCTCCCCCGCAATAAGACCAGGAGGGGAAAGGAGGGGGAAGGCCCTAGAGAAAAAAAATTCAGGCCTTAGGTGCTCCAGCTCCTGATTAGCAAACTACCAGAAAACTGCCAAAAGCAGAGAGCAGGGGCTGGGCGGGCACAAAGCCCTGGCCACTCCCAGCAGCGCCCTCGGCACCGGGAATGCCCCTCCCGGAGCTATGGTGCTATCAGCCCCTCTGCAGGCTTCCGCAGCTCCTGCTCGGCTCTGGAGCCTGCCTGCCCGCCTGGCGTGACTCACTAGAGGCCCCTCCCTATCTTTCACTTTCACCCAGCACCCAGAAGGGAAGTAGCTTCCTCCTCCATTTCCTTCCTCAGCTCCCAGGCCCTGGAGGGAGTAAGCGACCCTTCCCACACACCCTCTTTGTCTTCACAAATGGAAGGTGGAGGCAGGGAAAGGACAGAGACCAAGAGGGCATCCAAGTCACCCTGGCCCCCAGAGGATTTGGTCAGAGGTGAGAGCTGACGGCCAGAGAAACAACCTTTGGAACAACCCTCTTTCTTTTGTTTTCAAGTCCTCTTTCCCCCAGCCAAACTAATTCAAAGCAAAGACCCAAAAGCCAGCCCCCAAACTGAAAATCACCCTCGGCACCCCCATGGAGCTGCAAGGTGGGACTGTCCAGCTCCGCCTCTCGGCCCAGCACCAACTGGCAGCACCCGACTGCAGGAGACAAGGAAAAAAGAATGCCAGCCTGGCAGGCCCACATGTTTCCAGGGGGCTGCGAGCCCCCCATGCAGGCGCCTTCCCCATTACAGCCCTGTTGCCTCGCGAGCCACAGCACAGGCTTGGGGCCTGGAGCAACGGAAGGCCCACGTGGCAGGCAAGCCTGAGTGCATGTGCCAATGTGGGCCTAAGGAGGGACTGGGAGGGGCTGGCAGGGGGATGGCTGCTCAGCGCCTCTGCAAAGCCTTGGAGGAGACAGGCTGGAGTCTGTAAATGGGGGCTCCAGGGAAGGGCTGCTACTGCCCAGCAAAGAGGCCAGGGGACAGATGCAGGTCTCACAAGGGCTTACCTGCAGCTGTATGGTCAGGCCTAGAGGTGCTGGGCTCGGCAGGTCTGTCTCCCACCTATGCCCTGCACATAAAGGAGGGCCATCATTTGGAACACCACTAGGTTTCTGAACCTTGGACAGGAAATTGCTAAAATAAATCAAGGGACCTGGTTTTAAGGAGGCTGAATCATCCAAGAAGTTTCCTGCCGTAGAATCCTCCTTATCAAGCCCACTGAAAAGCGAAGGAGTGCCAGGGCCATGGCCATTTAGGCCTGGGACCACCAGAGAAGAAAGGTTATTGTCTAGGGGATGGGAAGAAGAAAGAAGATACCCAGGAACTGGGGATTGAAAGAGGAGACACAATGTGACAGCAGGACACTAAGTCATAGCAGTAATGGCAATAATAATAATACACAAATGCCAGGCAGGTCCTAAGTGCTTTGCATCCTTTAAGTTCCCTCAATAGCCTTAGAAGGCAGGCATTACAATCTTAACCTCTGTTTTACAGGTGAGCAAGATGAGGCGTGCAGGGTCTAAGTGACTTGCTTATGTTCACATGGTCATTATATTGCAGAGTCAGGACTTGAACCCAGGTCTGTTGGGTTGGATCAAGCTCTTATGCCTTATTCCCTATTCCCAAGACTTGCCACTGAGACTCCAGGTCCCTGTGCACACTCCCCACCTCCTCAAAGTGGCAGACACAGATATTCCTCCTCAATGGCACTGGGAAGCCCCTTACACCTGATTCTCTGCCAAGTAACCCTCTCCCATTCTCCCCAAATACATCAGAGTCCCTAGATCCTACAGGGAGGGTAGGGAAGGAGTCTCACCACAGAGTGGTCCACCTGCAAGGAGCCTGATACACTTCCTCCTGCACTGGCCACCTTGGCCCCAGCCTCTGGGCCTGGACTCTCCAACTCCTGCAGCTCCACGCTGGGCTCAGTCTGCTTGCTGCTGGTGGGGCTGCCAGTCCTCAGACCCCACTGGCACCTCCCAGCCTGCAACTCGGGGTAGGACTGAGCCACTTCCTCCTGTTTCTTCTGCCCCACCCCCACTCCCCTGTCTCTCAGGTGGAAGTCATACTGCCCTTCCTCATGACAGGGAAGAGGAAGGAAGCCACCTGCTCCACAGGCTGCTGACCCAACCAAAGGGCCAAGTCCCACAAGGATGCAAGGAAGAGAGTGTGTAACGAAGAATCCTGAAGGCAGTTTACCCCTGGGACCAGCTACAGAACCTCTGACAACAGATGCAGGAACACTGTGAAAGGAAACCCACAGTTACCACGGGCCCCGACACTGTGGCCCGCTCTGTCAGTGTGTCTGACTGCCACACTCTAGTTACTTTTTCCTTCCTCAAGGCTGCAACCAATCCTTGACCAGACCCACAGGTACCCTCAGACTAAAGATAAGGCAAGACTCCATACTAAGACCTGGCGCCTACAGGGCTTTCAGGCAGAGCTCTGGTGAAACGCACTTTCTCTCTACAGAAGAAAGCAGTGTGCACCAAGAAAGAAAAACAGTACTGAATCCACATATTGTGCAGTCACAAGGGGGAAGGTGCTAGAAAGGTCTTTGGGTGTTCAGCACTGATGGTGACACCAGCTCCCCAGGGATGTCAGCCTGAACACACACTGCTCTTCAAGTGCCATCAGCAGCTCAGCCACATGCCCAACAGTGACTGGCTGATCCCAAGAGAGTCCATTGAGCCCTCACCATAATGCAAAGGGGCCTTGCCCATGGCCACCAAAAGACCAGGGCCACTCTCCAGCTTACCTGGGGCACCAGTGGGGCTGGGAGCTGACTAAAGGATACCCCTGCCCTCAGAGGCTAATGCTCCAATTTTCTGCTCCCACAAGCTGGACCACCCCAGGCCCCACAAGTTCAGTGCTAGGAAGAGGGGGAGTCAGAGTGCATGCTCCTCCCACCCAAGAGCAAGATGGACCCAAACACGGTATCTAACAAGGGCCTGAATCTCCAGGCAGGTCAGTTCTCTGAACACCAAAGAAGCCATCTTAGGTCAAGTCTAAAATCCCTACCCTGCCAACAAGTCCCCGCAGACAATGGCTCCTGCCACCTCTCAGCTCTGCATGCTTGAGCCTACAGTCAGAGCCTCTAAGATGCCGTTCCCTCTTTGTTTCCTGGTCATTGATCAAGCTGTACCCTTGGCCTTGGAGACTTCTCCACTCTTCAACTGGCCAACTCCCCTACTTACCCTTCAGGTCTCAGACACTGCTTTCCCCAGGAAACCACTCTGTGACCCAAGGCTGAGAGAGGAACTGCACTATGAACCCTTAATGCCTCCTAAGTCCCCACCTCTGTGCTCAGCACACTAAATCCCATGTGCCTGTTTCCTCATGGGAAAGCAGACAGGTAGCAGACAGCAGGCTCCACAGGACAGAGTTTGCAGACTGCTGTCCCTTAGCACTTGACTTACATTTACCTCTTAAGACACTCATTCAAGGCTCGGCGCCTATAGCTCAACCGGCTAAGGCGCCAGCCACGTACACCTAAGGTGGCGGGTTCGAATCCCCAGCCTGGACCCGCCAAACAACAATGACGGCTGCAACCAAAAAATAGCCGGGCGT